TCTCTTAATTTTTATCGGCTCATCTGTCTGCACGCTCGGGGGGGCGGTTTAATGCCGCTTACTGATTTTGATTTCCCACTGCGAAACATATACGTTACCAAAAAATATCCCCTTTACTTGCTAATGAAAAGAAAAAGGAGAAAATGAAACCACCATGTTGTCAAACAAAGCTGTGGCCTTCTTTTGTCGTCCCTCCCCAGAGATGACAGTTTGTTGAACAGATAAACCTCGTCGGTATTGTTTGACCACAGTCACCCGTTTGTGCCTGAAGCTCAGCTCTGTCCCTTTTTTTTTTTTCCTCTCAGTTTCCTGCCTTCACTCTCCTCTCCTGCTTTGTCTCTTTAGAAGGATGACGTTTGGAAAGGTGAACGAGCTGGGGCAGTTCATCAGAGAGGCGGAGCCTGAGCCAGACGTGAAGAAATCTAAAGGCAAGAGTCCCCTTGGAAAATTTTGGCCGCCCGCCTCTGTCTCCGTTTTCTTTTATTGACTTTGGCCTCACTCCCATTTTCATGTAGCCGGATTAGAGCTGGTCTGTCAATTAATAATACGTTTTAAAAAGTCACTCTTCTGAAAAAACTATATGACCAGAGTTTCAACTTTGTCACTTTTGAACACATCTTTGTTGTTTTTTTTTTTAGGCTCCATGTTTTCCCAAGCAATGAAGAAATGGGTTCAAGGCAATTCTGATGAGGTGAGAAAAACACAATGTCAGATAATCACTCATTCTTAAACCCGTTGGTGACGACACTCTGGTGCGTCACACTCTATCATGATTGTTTGTAATGAACGCGAAGTCTGTGCTGGGTTACGTATTGACCGTGATGCGACCGCAGGCTCAAGAAGAGATGGCCTGGCAGATTGCCAAGATGATCGTCAACGACGTCATCAACCAGTCAAATCACGACAGCCCCGGTAAATCAACTAAGGTATGATAACTCACTTTCTGTGCTTTTACCACTGTTTGGTAATGTGTTAAAAATGAATGGATCCAACAGTACTATTGAATGGAACTTAAGGTTTAAGTAATAGACAAGTTCACCACCAAAGAGGAATGAAGTCGAGTGAAATACATTTTCATTTTTATCACAATATTCTTTATCGGTACCACAAATAAACCGCTAAAAATGAACTCGCTCTGATCTATAGTTTTCTCCGGTAACTAACTAACCATTTCTCAAAACATTTAAGGACGAGGCTAAAGTGTCAACTTACATTGAAAATGTTAAATATATACCGTATATTACTCTATATCAATTATATGTTAAATGTGTGAATATGGCCCTTTCTACACATTTATATATATATATATGTATGTATATATATATGTGTATATGTGTATATATGTGTATATATATTTATATATATGTATATATGTACTGTGTATATATATAATATATATGTACTCTGTGTGTATATATATATGTATATATATATATAATGTGTATATATAAAGGGAGTCTGGTTAGAGGTGACGTCAATGATGGTACAATCACCAAGACAAAAACTTCACTTTGTTGGCAACTATGTGTATTTCTTTACTCCGTCTACAGTATCTTTACAAGTGTTTTTCATTCTAAAGCTATGACCCCACTGAGGATCCAAAGAACCATCACTCCTTCTGGAAAACTCTGACCAGAGTGGTGATAAATTGTGCCCAGGGTTTGACCTGCATCACCTGAGAACAAACAAGGCTTTTTTTTTTTTTTTCTTTTTTACAAAAAAAAAAAAAAATCTCTTCAATGATCCCCACGTCTCTCCGCGCACATGTCGCGTCTGAGCTTGGGTGAAAACTTCACCTACACCTCCCTAACACTATGATGGTAGTCGTACAGTGGTGGATGAAGTGTTAGACTGAAGGAAATCCTTCCTGAGGGTGAAAACATTAATCTGGACGGTGGAAGAATACTGGCACTAAGAAGCAGCCTCTCAGTCAGGACTGTGACTGAGCTGCTGCTGGACTACTGTACAATGTCTCATCTTGGACCTTCGGAGGACAAAACAAAGACTGAATTACCCCCCGCCCCCCTCCGCCCCACTCCGCCCCGCCACCACATCACACCTGCACACACCTTTAAAAAGCATTCCAATGTTTTTAGATCAATGTCTCTCGAAAGACATACCTAGTTCAGCCTCAGCTCGAAGTGTTGTATGTCTTTTTAATCACGTCTCCTCAAACTGCACGCAGTGGTTTCCTCTGCTGCTCCCTTTTGCTGATAAAGCTACAGTAGGCAGGACAGAAGCTAACACTGCAGCTTAATGAAGGAATGTACTTCACAATCTCTGTCCTGAAGTACTTGCTACTCACAGAGTAGCTAATATTGACACCTTTGCTCTTTCAAGTGCTTATAAATAGTCAAATCCTCCCTGGACCTAAAAGATGTAAATGGCTCTGTGATTTGACAGTTTGGACCTAATTCTTATTAACAACTTTTTTTTTTTTTTTTTTTTTTT